CTTGAAAACAAAATAACAATCGCTAATTCACCGATTTCTACAATTCAGTAGGCGCGGCCATGTTTGTGTATTGGTCGTATAAAAATAGGTGCGCGTGTTGTCATACACCAACTTATTTAGATACACGATAAATAATATTTATAATGAGAATCTCACGTAATCGATCATTATATTGAACTCGTTGACTGACATATGACATAACGGTCTCGACCCTGTACCTGTTGACCATTTCTGGGTGAAGTTATAACTGTCGTTGTTCCTGCAGGGCTACATATACTTTAAATAAAAATTTGGCCATTTCTACCTGTAGACCGTCTGTCCTGAGCTAATAAAAATAGACAATTTAATAAAACATGATAACAAAATGGACTACAAAAGACCTAAAAAATGGGCGCCTATGGGTACGTCATCCGCCATGTGTTTTGTTGGGCTACTGTCTTAAAGCTTAAGCTCGAAACAAGTGTGTAGCCTTTCGAGGAGTAAATAATATTTGTGATATCCTCTTTAAAATAACAAGAACATTATCTCTATTATTAAAACAGTCCATTTCACGAACAAAACTTCCGAGTTCCCGACTGAACGGCGATTCCATATATTTTGGAAATATTTATGCTTGTAACTTGTGTAAATTTAACAAAGGAAAAAATTATATCATTGATTAATCCTGGGGCAATTTGGTTACATCCCCTTGCAAAACATAGATACTTCGATACACAGCTGTTACAAGAAATAAAATAATAAAACAATGAAAATAGCACAGACCTTTTAATTGCAGTAAATCTATTTCGGATTTTTTCAGTTATATCATATACATGTACATTGAAATCTTGTTTTGAATTTCTTTATATTTATTTATTTATTTTTGATTGTTCGCTTTCATGGCTTTTTTCACAGTATTTCATGAAACTAGAATTATACCGCATCAAAACTCACTTTTACTCGTATTCGTTTACGAGGCAATAAATGGTGCGAGTTTTGACATCCGATATCAAATCTTTGTATATAGTGTAGTTTATTACAATAGAGACAATTGTTTTACATTGTCTTCCGCAACTCTTGCATTTGTAAAAAAATAAGATTAAAATCCGGTATTTCTATTTTATCAATTGCGTTAACGTAACCTGTATATTTGTCTTCATTACGGGGATAAACCAGAATGTAAGTTTTTTGCGTAATATTTTATATTAGCTTGTAGAATTAGTTAACAGCACAACATATCTAATATTGCCATCATTTTGTCAGTACGGCATCATTTGTTTACATTAATACATTATAATATAGTTACGCCAAATTGTTTCGTTATGGAATGAAAACTATATTAAATTTAGAATATTCGTAAATGACTCCGAATGTTCAATTCCATGAAATATTTGTTTGTAAATACTATGTTACTTTTATATCGTTTCCATGTTCAACTTGTTTGTTTTCTTGTTCATGTCTGGCCAGGGCAATCAAAACAAAAAAGATGTTTTACATATACTATCAAAGTTAATCGTTTTTGTTAAGTATAAAATAGCTTTTTTAATGTCATTTTAAGTGTGTCTCTGGATTGTTGATGTTTGAATGGTAGGAAAAAGCGGATTGAAGTATTTCCTCTTCTAAAAGAAAACAAATCTGATATATTTTGTTTGCAAAATACTAGCTTTTCAGTAGACATGCAAAATACTATATATGCTGAATGGAATGGTATATATTAATTCAGCTATGGCACATTCAAGTTCAGAGGTATTGATATTTTATTTTGAAGTTTTATTGAGTTTAACATTTGAGTCAAAACATTTGTTGATAAGAATGGAAACTACTTTATCTTAGATATGATCATTTGCGATGAAAACCCCAAACATTCTGATTGACCGCAATTTAATGAAGAATTTTTTATTAGATACTGATCATAAATGATAAATAGTGTATATTATGTTGTGATTATAACTTATAAGTTATTGATCAGCAATTTTACTATCGTCTTTATAAAATGATAAAGAAATAAAATTTTGATAGTTTTAGACAACTATTCCTCAGCAAAAAATGATTCATTTGACAACACAAACACAGCTAATTTAATGGACAAGATAAGATATTTTTAATTCCTGGAACGTTGCAAAATTTTGTAGACCAACAGAGTACTGAGGCAAGTTTTCAATTAGATAGAATGACACAGACATTGAAATTTGTTTGCTTTAAGTGTCTTGGAAACATAATAATAATTATCTTTTGAAGGATTTTGAATACCTTGAGGCAATAAATGAGGTGATAGATATGATTAAGAGGTAACATGCCTGTTTATAACACCGGCAATATAAAGAATATTCCTGATAATGAATTGCAGTTTTACAATAATTGATCAACTATTCCTAGAAATATTACTTCTCAAAATTGCAAAATTGGAGAAAAGACAATATATATAAATAAAAACCACAGAAATAACACAGAATGTCAAAAAAAAATCTATGATTTATCAGACTTTAATGTTGACTGCTTTTACTAAGAGATAATCTCTCAGACAAATAACGCCTACAAAGATATTCTATAACACCAAGGGCTATATGATCTCATAAAGGTGAAAATTTACTTTATATGTTTGCACTTAAAAACAATATAAATACATTTAATAAAAATAAATAAAAACAAAATGAAAATGGTTCTATAATTAATAATCTGGAAACATTTTAAAAGAAACAGAAAGATATAATGAAACTCTGTTAAAAGTGATTCTTATGAGACAGTCGGTTTTAAAAATTTTACATATAGTATTGAACATACTTAAACTAACAGATGTAAAAAGCCGCAACAACTTGGATGGTTATAAGGAGGCATCATTTCTTTTAAGAAACGTGTCAAACATTAAAAGTGTCCTCAATTTAGCATATGGTTCAAATCAGTTGCCCATCGGTCAAATGCGCAGAAGTTCTTTTCTGAAAGTTGAATACCATAAAAATATTAAAGGAAAACATGTTCAATAGACCAAACGTTTACTGTTACAGTTTGCTGAGGCACCATTGCAATGTTAATGAAATAGCAGAATCTTTAAAAGAAACTTTTGGTGTTTTATCAGTATTTTATCTCGGGGCTCAGTGTGAACGTTAAACAGACAAATGTTAGTTGGATATGCATTAAAAGGTACAGCGATGGTAGTATAAAACAAATTGAAACTAAATTTAAATGAAACTAGTTTCAAAATGATTGAAAAACAAATCAATTAGGATCATAAAACAAAATGATCGAAATTAACTTTAAAAATATACTATCATCAATTTAGGTACAATGTTTTATCGCAAAAATGATTTGAAATCCATGAAATTCTTAGTGAATATGTTTTTATTCGTGCTTTTAAATAAAATTGCGTGGGTTTCTAGATGAGTCGTTGATGTTTTCCTGTTAATGAGTCAACAGAGCTGATAGAAATGTAGTTTACTACATTGTATATAACATACATTTATTCTTTCTCGTAGATAACAATTATAAGAAATTGAGGAGTAAAAAATAATACAAACAACATATATAATGTTGACTTAATACCATATTATTAAAAAACACACTGTGCTTTTGGGAACATAAGGAGTGTTCAAGTTCAACATTGCGAAAAAACACGAGGATATGACGGAAATCGGGTAGATATACATGTTCAGCTTTATATTTATGCCACATAAATCAAATTCATTCACTTTAGCTGTGTTTATAACGCGGTTTAGGTTATCGTCCCGTAAACAGTGACACTAGAAGAAAATCAAAGTATGCCTTTGAAATACGGTCAAATGATAAGTATTGTTGTCGGCCAACCATTATGATATATATTATTCAAATAGTAATGTATATGGAAAACTTTTATAACAGTCAAACATGTAACTTATTAAGGATAAAATTGCAGTAAATATGCTAAACATTTTACCTGCTCAATATGAAGAAAACGTGTCAGACATAGACAATGAATGAAATATATATAGACTGTCAAATGAAATTTCTGATTTGCATTTTGTTAAAATGCATAGAATTTAAGTAATTTTCTTGGGTAAAAATTAAAAAGAAAGGAGAAAAATCTACAGAGTGAATTTAATCTTTTCACAAAATTCTAAGACCAAAAGTTAGGTTATTCTTGAAATAAAAGTGACATAATTATGTAAGTCTATACAAGTATAAGAAAAGTAAATGCCGTCAGCTTCAAAGAACTAACGAAGTAAATAAAAGAAGAGAATTAAAGTATGGTATAAAGTTTTATGTAGTTATTAGCAGTATCGAAATTATCTGACCTTTTTTAGTGTACAGTTATCTAATCGTATCAAAACTTATCGTACACATAAATATTTGGACAACAAGTTGTCAATATAAATCTTGTGAAAAAAGTTTTTGCTATGCAACTCAGTAATGAGTTTCTACATAAATACATTTTACATTGTTTTAGTAGAAAAAGCAACTATTATCCACGATATGGGATTAAACTATATGGCATTTTCACAGATACGATTTCTTATTACCTATTGAATCTTAACTTCTATGATTTTTGCAATTTTAGAAGTAAATTAGTTAAACTATTTTATACATATACTCACTCTGACGTGTGTTTTTATATTCTCCGTATCGTAATATTAGACCTCCCTGTTAAGTGTATCGTACCTCTATATGTTCGACCGTGAGATACACACATTTGACAGTATGGCTATTTAGTAGACCTTCCTATTTGATTGTTAGTGTAAAAATAATTATAAAGGTCATTCAGACATAACTTTTGTATTGAAAGTAAATATTTAATGTTTCCATTATCATAATACATAATTTAGATTATATACTAGCAACTTAGCCATCATAGCCTAACAATAATATATTGAATATAACAACACGTTGCTATACTTAATGAGATATGAGATATTAGAAAATACAACCGCCACAGATATCAAGACAATAAATCCCAAACCAGAAATTGCGATTGGGTCTTTTTTTTTCATTAAAATTATAAAATTCATAACTAAATGTATTATCATTCATATATTTTGTTTTTATTCTTGAAGTTCGATTGATGAATGGGTCGAATCCATATGAAGGGAGACTTGAAGTATGGCATGATGGGTCTTGGGGAACAGTGTGCGATGGTGGCTTTACAGTGCTGTCTGCAACTGTTGTTTGCAAAATGTTACATTATCCACAGTAAGTATTAAAAGCGACATTAATTAATTTCTCCATATGTTAACATACATGTAATAAAATAGAGAATGTGTTTTATTTCTCCGAGATGAGCTTTTGAGATGGTAGTATATTCACCTTCCGTTGCTTCTTAACTATTTTTTAACAAAAAGTCTTAAATTGTGATTTTGATCAAAACTTCACAGAAATGACTGTTTCAACCTGGTGTAAATGTCAGAAAAGCTAGAAATAAGATTCTTCAATGTCCCAGATCGATATTTAGCACGCCGCATCATCTAACATTCCTCTATAAAAGTTTTAATAATTCCTCAGGGGTTATGAATGACCTCCTTCCGGGACCATTTAGTTTATAGAGAAACATAAATTTATCAACTAGCCCAGAGCTTAGATATTTAGCATGTAGCGCTGTTAAGTACACTTTTACGAAATTTATATTAATCATGCCCTTTGGATCGGTCAAAAGAGGTCCTACATAGCTAATTACTTTTACCAAAAGTATTTGAAATTATGCCTTTGTGGACAAGTGGACAAAACAAATTAGGTCGCCTTAGGGGATTATGTAGTAAACATGTCGTAAAAGTTTATCTCTCCGAAACTGCAGTCCTCAGAGTATACATATTTGACATGTAGCCTTAAACAAAGTTATAAAACTTTTCCTCTTTTATCAAAGATGGTCTAGCAGTGTTAATATGGCATAAATTAAATCATCATTTTAAATACTACAATTCGAAGTGCTCAGATCTTTACAAGTAATATTGCCTAAGTGAAATTATGTAAATCATGCAGCTTAAATAAAAATACACCAATGTGATCATATTACGTTTTTAATCAACAAGAGAAATATCAATTTACGGCAAAGTACATTTAAAGTGACCTTAATATCTCACATGTGATACAGTTTAATGAAGACAAAAAACAAAAGTTATAAACATTTTGAATATGTTGTCAACTTTTACTGAAAGCAAACAAACTTATTTTTCAAAATAGTTTGTTTTATGCAAAATACACATACGTTTGTTCAAACTTGAAATCAAAGTAAAGCAGTGTTTAATTTCAAAAGAAATATTTTCATTTCCAATGACAAACATGTTGCAATTCAATGTATGGACTGATTATATATATAATACTTACAGAAATTTACTTATATAGATATAAAACATAAAATTGAATTGTTTGACAAGTTAATTAAACCGATTTTATGTAATGGATGTGAAATATGGGGCATGAATAAAGCTGATAAAATAGAAAATATACATACACATTTTTTGAAAAATATTTTAGGGGTAAAATTAAAAACCCAGACTAATTTTGTATACGGCGATTTAGGTAGAATGCCTTTAAAACAACAAAGAATAATACAAGTTTTACAATTCTGGTTAAAGGTAATTAAATGCGATAACGTGAAACGGATTAAACAAACATACAATTTGATGCTTGAAGATATTGAACGAAACAATAAAACTACTAATTGGGCAACGTCTGTAAGAACAATTCTATAAAATCTAGGCTTAAATTATGCATGGATATTTCAAGAAATAGGAAATGAAAATATTTTTATAGCAGAAGTCAAGCGAAGACTTGAAGATAATTTTATTCAAACCTGGATGTCTGAAGTTGAAGCGTTATCCAGGGCCGACACACATAAACTTTTCGCTACTTTTGGTTTTTCGAAATACATAGAACAAATCAATATTAGTAAATACCGAGCTGCTTTAACAAGATTTCGTTTATCGTCACACAGATTGTATATAGAAACCGGCAGATGGCATAAACCGCATCCGATTCCAAGAAATGAACGCAAATGTATCTTATGTAACACACTAGAAGACGAATTTCATTTTCTTTTAGAATGCGAATTATATAAAGATTTAAGAATTAGATATATAAAACAATATTTTCGAAAAAGACCGAATATTCCAAAGTTTGTTGAACTTCTTTCCAGCGACCAAAAACAAATAAATACCAATCTTGTCATATACTTATTAAAATCCATGGAACCCCGTAGCATAGTTTTATATTCAATGTGAGTCACTTTTCTCCACAAAATATATTTTTACATTTTTCTCTTGTGGGAGATTCTATTTTGATATATTAAATAATATTTTTGTATACGTGTGCATGTGTGTGTGTGTGTGTGTGTGTGTGTGTGTGTGTGTGTGTGTGTGCGCGCGCGCGCGTGTGTGTGTGTGTGTGTGTGTGTGTGTGTGTGTGTGCGTGCGTGTTTGTAAGTGTGTGTGCGTGCGTGTGCGAAGTTTATACTCATGTTTCATACTCATTGTATTTTTCAAAATCTTATTGACGATGACTATAATAGGTGTATAACTGTTTGAAAATTTGAGAAGATTTACATAAAAGCATTTATGATACTGTTGTTTCACCAATCGCCTCTTATAGTTTGCAAAATGATAATGATTGCATGCAGAAATGATTGATATTTTTTACGATTTCATACATTTATGCTGATTTATATAGAATTGGACCGCCACTGATTATTTTGTAAAAAAAAAAACCCTTGTATTATATGTTTGTATATATGTACTCACAGGCATTTGCCTTTTGTTCAATAAAATTATTCATATATGTCATGATAAATCACATGAACACATCTGCTGATGTTTCTTAATTCAAATTTCACCCTAACATAAAATGTTAAATATTTTTTAGGCCCGTGTTAAAGGGCGTGAACTGTCATTTTTTATTTCCAAGCTAAATAAAACCAAGCCTGCAACATTTTAAATTTTGCCGTTTTGAGTGTTCTTTAGGGATTCTGTTTTTCTCTATTTTAGTACAGATCCTCTGGTAATTATGTCCACACACTTCGGCGCCGGAAAATTGCCAATTAAATTAAACGATGTTAAATGTACGGGAACTGAGACAAGCTTACAGCAATGTCCACATAGAAGTTGTGGATCAAATAATTGTAGTCATAGTGAAAATGTCGGCATATCATGCACACAAGGTAATCTTTCTAAAAAAATATTTGAAAAGAAATATATTTTAAAATACTGTATTTTAGTTATATTGACAAGTTAAAGTCGGAAATGTATAGTAAAATATATGGGTCTCCTTTAATACTTTATATTATGATGGAAAAACTATCTTGAGCGACAGAAACATGCACTTTGACAGTATATCTAAACGTTTTTCATCTCTTTTATAGTGCTGAAATACAATATTTTGGTATTGGTATCATAAGGCGTACTGATTTGAACAAACAAATTCATAACACAGTGGTTGTCCAAATACTCTGTAACAAGAGTGTTTAAAAGTTAAATTTAAAGGTCAATTCGATATTTTGATCTGTTATAATCTAATATAATTGAAAGATTTTCAAAATGCACATAGAAACATATTGGAAAACAACAAAATGATGACATAAATTCCACGACAAATATGTAAAAAGCGACGCACGACAAACCTCAAAGACGATAAATCTTCATTGAGCGCCTCATTCAAAGTATTTTCAGTGGTATTTAACGTTTTTAACAGTGCCGCTTCTAAATCGACAAACGCATACTTAAGCCATGAGATTGTTAGTCCCTGTTGAATGTAATTAATACAAATGATAAACGATTGCAGAGATTAAGCTATTGATAAACATATTAAAGACATCAAATTTGTAATGCATATTTTTATAAGGCAAATTGATTAAGAATTAAATAGCAAAAAAGAATTAACCATCTCTAAAGAATACAATCACTTCATCATCGCTCAATATTTAAACTAGAACATGATATTCTTCACAACTTTGCAATTTTAGGTCAAATTCAAGGTTCATCTGACACTGTTATATATTTTCATTAGAAATATCATATTACGGTCTTCCACACTCGCCTTCTATTCCTCTGAAAGAGTTTTTATTATATCAAACGAGCCGTATTTCAATTTTTACTGTTCTTTATATGGCGAAGTTGATATTAACTATTATCTTACAATAACTTGATTGTTTTTATTCAAAATTTGATTCGCAATATATTGCTCCTCATCTATGATTAAACATGTGTAAGCTATCGGGTAGTTCCGTCGATAGAGAATTTAACTGTATTCGACAATCCAGTCCAAGGAAGATTGAACTCCTTTACTGCTATGTAACACGGGTGAACTTTTGTTACTTTCATTTTTCTGATAAAAGTATTTATATATCTTTAAGCAATTTTTTCGCAAACATTGCATGCCTGAAAAAAATATCAGAGTATTAAAAGGTACTGACGAAGGCAATTTATAAGCACACAAAAACTCTTCTGTAGTAAAAGTAGAATGTCCAAAGTTTAAATATTTGACATGTAGAATTGCCTTGTGGACCCTCTACTCAAGTTATGTAATTGATTAACCTTTGGATAAAAATGGCCCTGCCCTGGGTTAACTCATTTTCCATAGACTTATGTACATGTTTGCTTTAGAGGGCATTAAATTCTGGCTTAATCTCCCCCCCCCCCTTTGATAAGATAAAGTGACATTTTGCATTCATACCAAGAAAATACAAAATAGTTTTATTATTATATAGTCGTTGAATTTATGATAATTTAAATTGAATGATTGAATATAATAAGAAAATTATTATATAAAAAAGTTAATGTCTAAATCTGCTTTAGGTTCTCACTCATTTTTCATAGACTTATATACTTATACATTTATACACATTCAATTCTTGCTTAATCATCTCCCTTTAATAAAATAAAGTAAAGTTTTGCATTCACACCAAGAAATTAAATACGATTTTTAATTGTTATATTTGAATTAATGATTATTAAATATATCGAGAAAATATCTATACAAAGAAAAATTAAAGTTATTGTCCAAATCTTCTTTCTTGCAAGAGTTTTTATGTAAATCACTACATTATATTATACAGCATGACATTCTAGAAGAATTTGAATTGTCGCTCTGGGACTCTTCTTTTAGGGTACTATAGGGTATTCAGTGTAGATATTTGGCAAGAAACATGTCAGGTGGGTCTCCACAAAATTTGTTCAAATTATAGCCATTGGGTCAAATTGGCCCAACACTGGGGGAACATACATGTATATATTTCCTTATTTGTATTTTATAGTAAAACGTAAATGAATGGGTTCTGCTATGGGACGTTTCTACTTTTTTCCGGTGTTGGCGTTGTAAGTTTGATTATTTTATCTGACATATCCGAACACGATCAAAAGATCAAGGTCATAACTTGCGGTCAAGTTCGCTGGTTATCCTGTTTGAATGATCACAAGATTTAAGTCCCTTTTCAAAAGACTTTCAGTGAAGACAAGACCTCACAAGTACCTACTTGATACTATAATAGTAATACCGAATTATGTCAATATTTTAATATATTGACAATAACATCGTCTTCTTCAGGCGATTCCTCTTAGAAATATCAAAGCTATAACAATTGTCTGTTTTCACATTTTGTTGGTTTACCTTAGCCCGTGCGGTCTGAACAAAGATCAAATTTTATGTATGCTTTTTTCAAACATGTCATGAAATAAAAATGAAGCTGTACAAGTTTTCATGTTTTTATCGCTTAAGACTAATATCTAAATTAATAAATGATGACAATACCATTTAAGCTAGAAAGCGACACCATGTAAACTTTCGCGAAGCGTCTTGCATTGAAAACTGACATGCAAATACTAGTAGTTGACCATATTACATATTAGATTCAGTTTATTTTTTTTATTTTATTATGTTTTTTGCATATAGTTAAAGCCATGTTTTGTACACATGACGTCAAAGTTGAACACCAAAGCCCGGTTAAGAATATGACGTCGATGCTTATCCTTGGCAACTGTTACGGGTATCACAACGCCACCGGCTAACAAATTATTAAAAAATTCTATATCCGGCGGAAGTAATTTTTCCTTATGCTGATATAAAATTTATCGTTTTACGCCGACAAAATTTAAAAAATGGAATGAAAATTGTCATTTTTATATAGAATTTGACATTCATTTAAGCGATATTCCTGAAAAATATATTTTGTTTTTTCTTAAAACGCCCTTTGAAATGTTAAATCAGTCTAAATGACTACACAAATAAGGGATACACGAAAACACGTTATTATTTCCCCAAACTTCTATGGATGAAAGTCACTGTATCACAGCGTGTTTGTTATTTTATTTGTCAGTCAAAAGGTCGCCCGGTTTTAAAATTGCGCTATAAACGCTATCTAACGCCATTATGAACACTGCGGAAAATATAGTGATACACGGAAGTGAACAGTCTTCCATATATAAATATAAAAAATAGACGGGTCAAAATTCGTGAAATTAAAAGAAAAACAACAAAAATTCGGAGATGTACGGATCATGTACATCATTAATACGTATATGACTATACACTCTAAATGTACGGACACTTTGTTGAACAAAGTCCATTTTACTCAAATATGGATTTTATTTTATATTAAGTCCAGATATTAATAAAATATGAAAGCTCGTATTCTTGCAAATACGAATTTTGTATATGAAAATAGGGAATCAAGATGTTCTACAGAATTGCCCACTTTCTTTAAAAGGAAATAAATTGTCTTAACTGACATTTGTCAGAATAACATAAGATAGTAATGCTTTAAAAAATATTTTTCCCGGTTTTATTAACATATCAATTGCATACTGATTATATGGTAAGTGACAAGAACATAAAACATTGACAAATCCTCAATAGTGTCGGTAGCATGTATGGACAGAATACGACAATAGATATTGAACTATCTTATTATTTGTATAAAAAAGAGAAAATAGAATCCCTAAAGAACCCCAACACGGCAAATTGAAAATGTTGCAGGCTTTGTTTGGTTAAGCGTGTTCATGGACGTTAGTGGTAATTGCAAGCTACCGGCCACGTCCCCTAGCACCGACTTAAGCAGAATTCAATATTAAACAGGAACTGGTAAATTTTGAATTTTGAAACATCCGCAGATGTGTTCATATGGCGTTATTATGGAATTTACAATGTGACACGTTAGTGGCATTAAATAAAAAGCGAGATATGGTCCTATTAAAGTAAAAAAAATGCTTGTGCTCTAAATGAGAAAACAACGGACGAAAGTAAATAAAATGGAATTTTGAAAGGGGATCGGGGAATATAAATCAAGCGACCCAAAAGACATGACTAACATCACTGTTGTAAGTGCTTTCTTTAACATTTCAATTTATACAAAAGTGAAAGAAAATCAATAACCCCCTCCCCTCACAGAACAGGGCCAATTTCAGTTCCAGGGCTAAAACTTGAATAAACATACTAGAGGCTCATTAAATCGATGTTTCATTTTTCTTTTATATAAGCTCTAACCCTTGTGGTTTTTAAAGAGTTTTAAAGACTTCTTTCTGTCTGGATTATAGAAATAGTCAAAACAATATATTTATACATAACTGAGATATTATGATGGCACAAACAAGCTATTTAAATCATTAAAAATGCAAAAATATTATACTTATAGTTATTTGTCGACTCTTAAAAATCTTAAAGATAAACATTTCAACGACCACAAGCGCAAAACTATAAAAGTATGATTAGTATTGTTGTTTTAAATATTGACTCTTTTTTGAAGTTCGACTGGTTAACGGATCAAGTCAATATGATGGGAGACTGGAAGTATGGCATGATGGGTCTTGGGGAACAGTATGCGATGATGGTTTTACAGCACTGTCAGCTCGTGTTGTTTGTGATATGCTGAATTACCAGGAGTAAGTAACAAACATTATTAATTATTTCTGTATATGCTAACGTACACTTCAAACGGGTTACGTACAAAGACGATTGATTAAACATTTATGTTATTATTTATTTCTAAAATATGTTCTTGAATCCACAGTAAATCCGTTGTCGCTAGTTGCTTTTTTATGTCCGTCGTTCACTGTTATCCACAATTTCTTTGAACAAAATTATTTACTAAACATCTAAATGTTTTTCGTCAAAACTTCACAGGTTTTCCTTAACAAAACATTTATAAATTGCTCAAGTCTGATGCATAAGATTTCAAGAGCTAAAAGTAGATACTACAATGCCCGAGATCGGAATATCTATTATATAACATCACTTTTTAGTCCTGTGCAAACATGTATTAACCATTCCTCTAGGGAAATGAATGGTCCGACACCGGGACCACTTAGGGCATACTTCCCTATTTTGAAACATGGTTAAATCATTTTGTGTAATTTACAAAGTCCAGAACTAAGATATTTGGCATGTATTATTGCCTGTTCAGTATACTGAAGTATGATAGTCATTCCTTTATGTCAAAAATGTTTTTACCCAAAGAATCCCTAAGTAAACCAACTCATGTCGTAAACATGTCTTACATTTTGTTTCTCTCCTAAACAACAATGCCCACATAAGACGCATAACATTATTGTTTTCTACAAAAGTGATTTGATCATGCCGCTGAAGTCAAAATTAGTCCAGGTTCATTGGCCATTTAGTTAAAGTAGACTTATTTATTTAACATGTCTTTAAGGTCTTCTCTTCCGAAACTACAATGCTCAAAGCGAATAAAATTGTAATGGCATATAACATAACATTGGTGAACTTTCCTTTTGGGATCAAAATTGTTTGGTTAAAGTTCATAGGAAAAAATTATTTAAATTTTCTTGTTTAAATACTACAATTCCTAGAACTTTCACTGTAAGATTGTCTAACTTCTAAAATAAAACCCATAAATTATGCTGCTTGTACCCAAATGTTAAACACAAATTGTTATCTTATTACTTTTTTTAATAAAAGGTAAACCAGACTTTTATGTCACTGTGCATATAAATTCTGCATTAAAAAGACCAAAAATAAAAGTCATTGAAATATCAATCTAGATTTGTTTGTATTTAATTAATTTTATCACTGAAGTCTACCACATTTTCAAACGTGTTTGTATTGGGAAAAGTAATTAAAGATGCTTAAAATCTTTAAATCAAATTAAATTTATATGTGGGATTGGTTTTAAAATATAAAAATGGCCAGGTTTGATATCGGCCGGAAAAAAGCGTAATGCAAAATGAGTCTGGAAAAGTTAATAGGGGCATCATTAACGCACAGCATGAAATAGGGGAAAGTGAAATATAAACCACACCGCACTTCAGAAGGCAAAATCACTATAACTAGTAGAACCAACAATTGTCTTTAATGTGTTTACAATGTTTAGTTGAACCAGTAGACGCATAATGTCTTTTGAAATGAAATTATTTATTTAACGGTTGTAACAACATTGCATTCTGTCAATTTAGAAACAAAAGAAATAACAAAACATAATTGATTATGATAATACCGTGATTTTATTAAGCATTTGGAGCAACTTCATGTCAATGAAAACAAAAAATGAAAGAAAGAAGTAATGATAATATGTGACAGACAGCTCCCAGCGAAAATGCTTGGACAGATACATAGAAACACAATGATGCTTAAAATAAGATAATAATATTGAATATGCTAAATTGTGTTAGAGGAAATTTACAATACGGTCTGATGCTCTCAGAGATCTTAGTATACAATGAGATGATTATTAAATATGGATTAAAAAGGATCAACATCGGGAATCTTGTACTAAAAGTGTGATTTTATATGCGATAAATTACTAGCTTTGATATATTTATAAGCATATTTCTAGTACGTGACAAACGCAGTAAGGACAATTGTCCATATTTTGAGCCTTAGCATTTTGCCGTAATTTGTACATTACTTCTTTGTTTACTTGACAATAGTTAACTTTTCAATACGTTTTCAATTTTGTTCTTCAACATTAGCATGAATCTAGAGGCATGCTGCTTTAATATAATACATTCAAATTAAAGGGGAATATATGTGAGAGAACCGTCACTTAAATAAAAAAAAGTTCTACATTAGATTCTTTATAGCTAGGTAGGTACTACTAACCTTTAATCATATCTAATCTTAAGTGCATTTATAGATGATAAATACGAGTATAAGGAAATGAGCAGTTTATAGTTACAGTTTATAAGCTATAAATTATTAGCTAATTACGTAATTAATTCAAGTTTGATTAGTACAAGGCAGGTGTCTATCATTACATGGTCGATCATATTTCGATAAAACCACACACAAATCTAAGGGATGACCAAATACAACTTTTTTAAAACAATCATTCAAATGTGTATGTAGAAAAATGGTTATTATATGTGGCTTCTCAGCCACAGCCATGTAATTAGAAAAAATGAATATTCTACCTCCGGAGGTCAAATATATACATATTTTATACATTACCCTTGGTCTATATCCAAAACCACGTGGTAGAATTACTTTCAATCTGCATGCAGCCCAAGATTATTTCGACCAACAGACGAGATATTAAGATTGCTTAATCTTTAAATATTTAAGGACGAAGGATTAAACCAATGTTATTTAAAAGTATAAGAACAAGTCCTTAAAAATGGACAATTACCAGCCTGAAGTAAATACAGTTGTGTGTTTGTAAGGTTTAATTCTTAGGGTATATCACAAAAGTTGTATATTCCTTTTCTTTAAAAAAAATAACCAACTACTTCATAAGTTTCTGATAATTGACACCACATAAGATAATGAGTTTGAGAAATTTCTATTTGTAAACAATTTCGATTATTGCTTATGCGAGTGGACATATTGTCCAATAAAACGTAACAAAAAATGACAATAATTTAAATTTTAACGAAAATAATTAAAAAGGAATTGCATATAATAACAGAATTCTACTGTTTAATACCGCAAAGTAATTTTTAAACGATATCGTATACTACAGTATTTGAAGTTCAAAATATATTAAAACTAGTGTGTTAAATGTTTTGGTTATATACAGGTATAGATAAAAAAGATCAAACTGCGAATGCTACAAGAGTGAAACAAGATAACAATTCTTAATAGGCTATGAATCATATCAGGACGAAACAATGCGTTTAACTTGCATAAATGAAGATACAAATCAGAGGACACTAAATATCATTTTACGAATGCAGGTACATGTCGAAAAGTAAATGAAATATATACATTTACATTACATCAAAATAAAACTGATTGGCTTATGATATAAGCTATATAAATAAAGGCAAATAAGATCGGAGAACAGGGCATGCAACATCTCTCTTACCGTGAAATACAATGTACATTAGAGGTAAAACTTAATATCAGATAATAAGAATTCCCGGGAAATAACTCGTTTTTAACGAAATTATAATTTGCTTTTACGAAACATTAATTCGTAAAACGAAATATTATTTGGTAAAAACGAAATATCATTTCGTAATTAAGAAATATTGATTCTTTATTAATATTTCATTTTTACGAAATAAATCCTGTGATTAAAGGAATACATTAGAGCCACTTTCTTGTCGGCTCAGTAACTTGATACTTATGACAATACCTGTTATATTAAGTGAAGGAAGAGGCCAGGGAGGTCTTGGCCAGAGGATGACCCCTTTTGATTTTGGTCAGGGAGGTCTTGGCCAGAGAATAACCCCTTTTGATTTTTAGGTCATTTGTCGCAGGTCAAGGATTGATTTAAAAAATAATACAGGGCCTTTTCCAGTTATTTTGGAAATGGCCCCTGGTTTAAACTGGAGGAAATTTTGTATTATTTTGTGTAATTGAGATATTTTCAAACATTAAAAGGGGTTGGCCTCTAGATGAGAGAAAATAGGGTTTTTATAATATTTATAAAAAAGGATTTAAAAATGATTAAGCTCCTGATTAAATATAATTCAGGTTAACACAAGTAAAATAGTAATTGTTTTCTTCCTTAGTCTTAGACCTTAACGTGACGGTATAACAGTACTGCATTTATTTTTAAAAAATTGCCAACTGATTGAGTTGTCGCGATAGGCATGATAGTGCAGGCGATAAAAATGGGTCCATGGGTTCAAATGCAAACTCAGGATATTTTTTCTGTTTCGTTTTATCGATTATATAGAGTTTTTGAAATAAAATATCATATATGACCGCACGGTGCCCATGTATAAATCTTAAAGAAATATATTTTAAGTGAAAATCTGAAGGCCAGCTCTTTTAAGTTATACTTATGTGTTTGATAAAAGGAACGTAATAACATAGCCTGTTTCTTTTTTAAAGAAGCATATCGGAAAAGACTAATTGTCTCAAAAATCTAAATATTTTGACTTTTCCCAGCTCTTGGGAATATGTAATTGAAGAAGGGGATATGTTGGATTGAGAATGACTTCTAATTCAAATACCCTGTTCACTCAAATACATGTATAATAATAATTGGGCTTATAATCGTTAAATTTGGTGGTAAGTTTGATACAGGTTTGTTTACGGTCTCTTTTAATCGTGGATTAATAGGGTTTTTTTTACTCACAATGGCCTTCAATATTTCGTAATAAGGAATTAATAATTCTTAAAAAACGAATTATAAAATAATCGTAAAAACATATTAATATTTCGTAAAAACAAATTATTATTTTGTAATAACGAATTAATATTTCGTAAACACAAATTTATATTTCCTACTTACAAAAATATTGATATTGCGGAAAAAAATCGAATTATTTTTTCATAAAAACAAATATTATTTCGTAAAAACGAATTATTATTTTGTAAAAACGTAAAAATTATCTCGTAAAAACAAAATAACATTCGTAAAAATACGAAATAATATTTCGTTACTACGAATTAATAGTACCGAACTTAGTCCCGCCCGGGGAAAAATGTGGAGAATGTCACAATAGGGATTCCGTATTTCCATTACAAATTTAGGCAAATTAAATACTTATCTTAATATCATGTCTGAAGTCAGCATATTTTAACCATATCAGCTGCTAAATAAAAACATCGTTTGTTGATTTTAATATAGGGTTAACGCACGTTTTCCCGTGTAATAACGTCTGCAGAGTCCCGAGGAACGGTTGGTGCCCGAGCCCGGTAGAACGAGGGCTCCAACAGTTCAAAGGGACTCTGCAGACTTTATAACACGAAATAAACGTGCGTTGACGCTATTATAGCATACAGTTATAAAACAGATTCATAATGTATATTGAATACAAAACACATACATTAAATTATTGTGCTTGGACGGTATTTATCCAATTCTTTTACGTATGCGTTTTATTTTTCCGGGGCCAACAACTTTGGAAATACAAATGGTCAGAACCGAACGAAATTTCGAATTTTAATTGATTAAACAAAGCTTAACATTGGAGATTAACTCAAGAAAAAAACAACAACATTAAATTACTCTACCCAAGACAAAACATGACCCTTAGAAATTCCTAGAATGATTTCAAATTGACGGTAGAAAAGATCAGTGACATAAGAAATTATTATCGTTTTATTTTTTTTTTCAAGCACACTAGTTTATTAAAAAAAAATTCAGGAACTAAACATAAGTCTCTCAAAGAAATATAAAGAGCATTTATCAATACAAACATCTATAAAACAACATTTTCTTATATTCATTTTGTGTGTATAACTTGTTTTGTAAGTTAATCGGAGAGTTAAACTGAATAACAAATATTTATTTGTTTACATTGACAACTGTCAGTTCCTTAGAAAGGGCGATAACCAAGATTAGCGGCGTTGTCTATACGCCGTATTTCCTGCATAGTTTCTTGAATTCTGCTCGCCGTAATGCGATTGAGGCCCTCGAATCAATAATTTCAACATAACAAGAGCGCATGACTCTTTGGCAAACAGGCCAAATTGCCTTTTTTGGTTTGTTTACTGGGCCCTGTAAGTATTGCGCATAGGTAAAACCGGACTATAACAAGGCTGCGAGACTCTGTTAACATCCCGTTATAACATGGGCAAAAGAGGGCAAAATAGCCAAGTTTATGCTATAATGAACGATGTTACGAAGTAATTTACTAAAGTTGCAATATAAAATGCACAGACTTCAAGTGGCATGATTAAAGGTATAAATTTTCAAACTAGTTTTATACAAAACTTTAGACAAGTTTTGAGACCGCCATGCATTAATAGCCCGCAAATTAAAACGATTTATTTCTTAAAAGAAAATAAATCCACTTAAAAAGCATAGCAATTGATCTTCATTTTGATTCTCAAAAGATATGTATTCATTTTCTATGACAGACATGTTGTGATTCAAGTGATTGACTGATTTTATATATGTTGTGATAAATATCGACAATTAAATGATATATTATTTTAGTTTTACTCCTGTGGCATTTGGATCTGCATATTATGGCGCCGGAACATTATCAATACATTTGGACGACGTAAAATGTACAGGCTCTGAATTAAGCTTATTTGATTGCCCGCATAGAAGTTGGGGATCAAATAATTGTGGTCATGGTGAAGATGTCGGCATAACATGTGCACGAGGTAACCTTTCAACTAATTATAGTTTATATGAAATATGATTTAAGAATAACATATTTAAGTTTTATGAATAACCATGTCTGTTAAGAGAAACGTGGTATTAATGTGTAATCAAAATTTATACAGGAAAAAATCCTGACCCTCTCATACGTTTTATTATAAAATTTCACCAGGACAATTGTCTGCTCTTTGACGTATGACTAATTTTTTGACAAGTTATATAATTATCATTTTTTATGAAATTCCCCTTCATATGTAATAAGGTGGTAAATCGCGCAACACAATATTGTGTATAGATTATTACAATTTAAAAGCTAGTTTTTGAAAATTGTGATGATTTGCACAAAAGGGTTAAATTTTTCTGGGCAAATATTCATTTCAATAGGCTAATATAAACACTTTTGCGATGCCGTTTCGTGTTTGTGTAGTGGCGGACAACAAATTACATCATATCTTCCGGTTAAGGTTCAATCGATTTGACCACTGTGACACTGTAATAGCTGTCTATGTAAAAGTTCACCACTGTTATGACTTCAAACTCGACAAAACTAATACACAGAGGAGATCCCTTTTATAAAAAGAAACTGATTTTCTAAATATCATCATCTCATAAAGCACTGAATATTTGTTACACTTAACGTAACTTTTGTTAATAAATATCTCTACTGTTTGTGTAAAAAGTCGACAAAATTAAAATACAGAATAGCTCGCTTTTAATACATATTTTCTCAGAGAAAGTACAATGCTCCATAAAGCACTGAAATAGAAAAAAATATTGTTAAAGCTTAATATTGTTTCTAATTATTGCAAATCTGTGTATGCAATACTGTTTAACCGGAGGGGACTTTAGGTTTTTACTCCGTCCGTCCGTCAGTCCGCCCACAAAACTGGACCCTGTGAGAACGCAAAAAGCGCTGAAAACATTTTTATGATACTTGATATATGACAGATGGCAAGCTGGAGTTTATGCATGTCTTTCCCTTTTCTTTCTATGTTGTTATGATAAAAAATATACTGAAAATATGGCAAATTTTACACATAAAATGTATTCAGTGGTTACGCAAAAAGTACTGAAAATATTTTTATGAAACTTAAAATATGAGTAGCTGGCAGTCTCGGAATTATGCACGTCTTCGAAATCTTGTTGAAAATGTGGTTACTTTGGCAACAAATAGGCTTTAAATATATCAAATATAACATAATTGTGATAACTCAAAAGTACTAAAACATTTTTTATGAAACTTAAAATAAGGATAAATGGCAGTATGGATATTATACATGATTATAGGGAGTATTGGGAGCTCTTCTTCTCATCAAGGGTCGGTTTCTGACTTCAGTTTACGATTTTTCACTAAGTTCTTTATTTCTAAAGGTATTTATTTCAAATTTCAAATATATCTTTTTGATAATCAACCACATCATAGGTGACAAGGTTTACAATTCTAGCACAAAAATGATCGTAATTGCCTTACCACCTCTCCCCTTGAACTTAGAATTGTAGTGAAGAAATGTTGTTGTTTCTTATAACCTTTTTTTCTTAATGTTTCTCTTCAAACTTCATGAAATACGCAAAATGTGAACGTTTTCGTCGCTCTGATGCTTGAAAGAAAAAAGAAATGCGCTGTCGTGTGCAGCTTTGCCGAAATTTAATAGGATTTTCAAAATAGATTTTAATTGATACATTACATGTATCTAAGATTAGTTTTAAGAATTTATTACATTTATCCAAAACTTATTCCTATTGATATTATTTAAATATTAGACTATGGATTCATTTCCTTTTATGCCCCGGAGGGAGGCATATTAAATTTGCATCGTCCGTCCGTTTGTCTCTCTGACTGCCTGTTCATCCGTCTGTGCGTCCCCAATTCATTCGTGTCCGGACTGTAACTTTGTCATACATTGAGGAATTTTGAAATAACTTTGCACAAATATCTACCACATCAAGACGATGTCTCACGTTAAAAAACCACATTCGACACTGTAACTTTGTCATGCATCGAAGGATTTTAAAATAACTAGGCATAAATGTCTACCACACCAAGTCGACATGTCGCTTTTTAGACTCATGTCCCTACCTTCAAGGCCAAGGTCACAGTTTGAAGGTTCTCAATCTCTCGAGAAGAGTTTGAAGATACACATTCATGTCCGGACTGTAACTTAAAAATAATTTGGCACAAATGTCTACCACATCAAGACGATGTGTCGGGCTTAGACTTATGTTCTTCCGTCCGTCCGCGTGTCCGCACATGCACAACAATCTTGTCTAGGCTGTAACTTTGTCATGCATTGAGGGATTTTGAAATAACTCGGCACAAATATCTATCTTCTGACAACATTCTGTCGCGCCCAAGAACTACGTTTCTTCTTCAAAGGTCAGACTTATATTTTGAAGGTTCACGCTTTCACAATTAGAGATTATAGGTACACATATTTGTGTCCGGACTATAACTTTGTCATGCATTGAAGAATTCAAAAATAATTTCGCACAAGTGTAAACCACGTCAAGATGACGTGTTGTGTGTAAGACCAATATTCCTTCCTGTAAATGTAAAGGTCACTCTAATAGTTTGAAGGAACTTATGCTCATAAGAAGAGTTTGAAGGTACACATTAGCATCCAAACTGTAACATTGTCATGCATTGAAGGATTTTATAATAATTTGGCATACATGTCTACCACATCAAGATGATGTGTCTCATCCAAGACCCTTGTCCAAAGGTGTTAAGTTTGCTATAAATGGCACTTCATTTCACAAGAACAATATTAAGCAATTAGTTACTTTCATTCTCTTTTCTTTTCATAATATCTACATGCTTAAGAAACCTTTTCGGGGGCATTCGTCACTTATCTAATCAAGGAATTTTAAGCAACGTAAACGAAAACTAAAACATTTTATATAGTTCTTACATCTTATTTGTTTTTTAACATCTGATTTTATCACTAACAATTTTATTTTACAAATGATATAAAGAAATGTAACATGTTTATGCCTTCAACTTTAAGATGCATATGATTTAAAACCCTCTACCCGCACACACACAATTAAAACAAACAACAGTTTAATAGCCATTAGGTTTGAGTTTCTAGCACTCTTACGGTGAATGACATCCGGGATTTTCCGACAAAAGGAAACCTTATGGTATTAAAACATAATCAATAACCAAATTGGTTTTTAAGCATCGATCTTTATTGCGTACAGCGGTGAATACTTTAAAAACATTTTAGTATGTTTTTGACTCCAACGCTTATTCAGACTGCGCCACATGCTTACTTAAATATGCATGTGGTGAGCATAATGTGTTTAATTGTTATATTCCTTTTTCTTGTAAAGAGGATATATTACGCATTAATATATTGTTTTTATATGAACATTTAATAACATTTAATATATTTTTGAAAAATGGCTTAATTCTGGGTATTTCTGGGTCATCCCTAGTATGCACTTCATTTTGATTTTATCATCTTTCGTTCATTCGAAGAAAGTCCTTCTTTCTGTACCTCTGTCATATCGTCTGTACAACAGATCTGGATCCTGTCAAAACTCTGTATATACATGTCAATGTTCAGATTTATATTGGCTAGGGTAGAGAATAGCATTTTCTGTGACAAGTTCTTGTTTAAAATGCATCAAATACATCTAGCTTAAGAATAACTCCTAAATGAGAAACTATTTTGCTTTCTATTTTATTATTTTAATAATTTTTATTACATCCTTTCGGTGACACAGATTTGACATTTGTGCGTTTCTATTTATCTTGTGCGCACAAATTTTATTGTGGCCACGAGTTACGAAGTCTTGGCCACAACAAAATTCAGTTGTGTGCACGAGATACTATGTCCTGGCCACGAGTTACATAGTCGTGGAAACGAGAAAATTAAGTGGTGCGAATGAATACTTAGTCGTGGCCACGATTTACTAAGCCTTGCGTACCACTTAATTATCTCATGCGAATGGCATAGTCACTCGTGGCCACGTTATAGTATCTCATTTGTATGAAATGAATAAAAATACACACATTTCATCTCTGTGCCACCGTACTTACTGGCTACAGGAAGTATTTGCAATACTGCTCAGGTGCAAACTATCAAATATACATTAAGTTTTATTGTTTGAAAATGGTTATTTTGTTCTTTAAAGTTCGACTGGTTAACGGGTCAAGTCAATATGAAGGTAGACTAGAAGTATGGCATGATAACACTTGGGGGACAGTATGCGATGATAGTTTTGGAACGCAAGATGCAACGGTGGCTTGTAAGATGCTGAATTATCCATAGTAAGTATGAAAAAAATCAGAAAACATAACATTCTCACTCATTACTTTTTTGAATTTGTTGTTATCGCGTCGGCCATGACTCAACGGTCTATCGGATTACAATCTTTCTTTTATGTTAAAGATACGGTAGCAGAACTACATGTTTTGGAGCCAGGGTTGATATTTTATGTTGTTCTCTTGGTTGATCTTTTATCGAGACGGTCGATGCAAGATTCGGTAACGAAAACCGTACCAAAATAAAATACAACTCCGGCTGTTTAACTGCATGCGCAAACAAGACATACACGAAAATGCCAGTTGAACGTTGCAATCACAAAATTATTAAACATGTTTGATTTTTATAACAGAAGCATTCGAGGTTTTTTGGAAGCTGTGGAAGATATTGTAGTATTAGTGTTTATTGTTACTATCTTTCGAAACATGAAATAGAAGAACGCGATTCAGAAAGGAATAATCAACTGATACAGTTAAAAGGATTAAAAACGAAAAAAAAACAGTTTGTAGTGTTAAATGAAACTTAAATGATATTTACCTGATTTTCCAGTTACTGCTTTATTCAACACGTTGTTAATTTTTCGTTTAAGTAAAGTCGTATTTTGAAGAGAGAGGAACATGCACATAACAATTTTTGAAGACTAGTTCTAATGATTTTACTCTTTAAATTAGATTAATATATTACGCAAAGTAAATGTTCCAGCAATCAATCATAACACTGTGAAGCGGTTTGATGACCTATTCAATATGCGAAAGACATCATATTTTATGTCTATTCTATGTCTATGCCTCAGTAATGTTAAGACCTTTTATCAAGGCTTACTGAAAAACACTTAAAACGTTTTCTACATTTCAAAATTTCAACTAACGCTTACTGCGGCGGTAAATTGGTCATGCATCGGTTATAAATACTTCAAATATGTTAACCCTTAAAGTTTTAACTACTACATGTATATCAGGAAAAGTAAAGACAAAAGACATGAGTGGAAAATACAGAATAAATGTTAAATTATTTGGCAACATACGGTTATATTGTTATTTTTTGAAAACAATTTTCCAATGATGACTACGCAGCGACGAACTTTGTATGCCTTGTTTTGTTTGGGGTCTTCCTTTGCTACTTGCCATTTGTCCTTGTTGCTGGGTTTCGTGATATTGCGTGTATTGAACGCCGCCTTTCCATGTTAATCTTGCCTATCATATTTTTTGCATGACGGGTCACTAAGTCCTTCGCCATTTTGATTATCTCAATATCATGAATATTTACAAACTTGCTTGTTCATTTGTTATTACAAACCATTAATATTCCTTAAAATATAAAAGAAAACAACAACATTTACTCAAATTATCTGTTAAATTGTCGCTTACATCAGTGACATAGATTAAGTTTCTCTGCAATTTCTTTTTTTTTTTTTTCAAACATATTAGATTACACGCGGAAAACGCTCAAAAACCACTATATCATATAGATGAAAGCTAATATTTTGCATACATTTGATTAAGAATTCATTCACTAATTGTGATAAAAATATAGTTTAAAAACATTATATTCTCGAACCCTAGTCGCATAAAAAAATCAATATTTAAATACTAAAACCTGTAAGATACTAAAGACTCTTGTATTTGACCTCCATTAAAATGTCAGCGCAAGAATACATTAATTTTACATTAGAAAAGGAAAAATAAACAATACTTATATATTCATTATACCCCCTCAAACGAAGTTTAGGTGGTATACAGGAGTCAGCTTGTCGGTCGGTCAGTCCGTCGGTTGGTTGGTCGTTATCATGGTTTCCCGACGATAACTAGAGTTTGGAATGAGATATTGTAATCAAACTTGGTATATAGCGACTTTGTGTGGAGATCCCGGTTGGTATAGCATGTGAACCCTCTTTGGTCAAGGACAATGTCACCGTTACTAAAAATAGAAATTTGATTATGAATAAGATATTGTAATAAAATGTTGTGTTATAGTAAGTTTATATGAAGACCCCGGTCGGTAAAACATTTGGACCCCTAGGGTCAAGGTCACGGTCATCGTTTCTAAAAAATAGAAACATGGTTTTTGGACAATGGATAGAGTTATGTATGAGATATCTCAATCAAGCTTAATGTATAGCAAGCTTATATAAAGACCCCGGTTAGTTTTGCATTTGAACCCCCTAGGGTCAAAGTCACGGTCATCGTTTCTAAAAAGTAGAAACATGGTTTTTGGACAATAGATAGAGTTATGTATGAGATATTTCAATCAAACTTAGTGTATAGCAAGCTTATATGAAGACCAAGGTGGATATTGCATTTGGACACCCTGGGGTCAAGGTCACCGCTACTAAACATAGCAAAATGGTTTCCGGACATAAGTTATAGATAGGAATGAGATATTGTAATCAAACTTGGTGTATATCAAGCTTATATGAAGACCCCGGTTAGGATTGCAATTAATTGAAATAATTCTGTGTACACAGTTGATTCTTCATTTACTATAAATTCAGTTCAAATATGACTTCAGACCACTTATTTTTCAAACAGTCAAAGTTGCTGGTGGGGGTATTAATCACCTTCAGTGATAGGTCCAGTCCCACATAATTTATCAATCAATGTCAACATACATTTTTAAAATAAAAACGTCTGGCAATTATACAACCAGTTGTTAACTAAAAAAGTACAACATAACTAAGCTCATTTTAATCCATAATAAAAATGTTGAAATCTTTAAATATTTGAGAGAAAAAACATGACCCAAAGTACCCAGTATTCATTTACCTGGTTGTGATATCTCATTTAACTGATTATTATTTTGAATTGATTAGAAAACACAAATAAAAAAACATGTCGGAAGCAGCGATCATTTTAATGACAGAAAGACAGGTACTTGTCTAGTGGTGAAATATTTTTCTTACCAGAATAAAACAAGGAATTTTTTTCAGAGAAAGACGCAATGATAAATCTTTAACGAAATGAATGACCCCGTGTTGTGTATTTATATATTTTTGAAGTTTATTCAATTCTACGGCGACACATCATAAGTGAATAGTCCATATTTTATAACATTCAAATTTTTGATACAGTTAAATAAAAGAGAAATAATAATCTTCTTTAAAAAACAATAATTTAAAACGCATGAATACGAATGACTTACAGTTGAGCATCGGGAAAAAGAAAGGTAACTGTAGTAACTTCAATCACGGCTTCCATTCATCAACAGTTTTTACGAAACTTTAATTTGAAAACGACATTTGCCGCTGAAGTGAATTAATGATCATTATATCGTTCTTCCGGTCTAATTTATATTATTAAATAAAAACAAAAACTTATATATTTGTGTTCTAAAAATAATCGGCGGCGTTAGAGGAAATTCTAATGCATTTTACAGCACTTGATTAATTACCAAAGAAAAAGTGTTATTTCCAAACATAGCTCGTTTACAACAAAAACTTCCGAAACACGCTATTTATAATACAATTAATAGAACTTACGATTCGATGTTCTCATCTTTTTGCGGAAATGGTGAGACATACATGATACTACGTAATAACCCGAAAGAGTGGCGGAAATTCCATCCAATTTTCTGAGTTAACAAGATGATTCTCGCAGTACATATTTCAAGTTAGTGAGGTTTACAAAATTGAATCTATCGATAATCTACTATGTTGGCGGTGTAAAACAAAAACAAACAAAAAAACGGTGACATGTGCAGTTTATAAGTGTGGTGCATATAAATTTACATCAGTTTTCACTAAATAAATTGATTCAAGTTTGAATAAACTTTGCAGATTTATATTTGTTTTTTTTTTGTGTTTTTGTTTTGTTTTTGTTTTTGTTCTTCAAGAAATATTTAGCTTAACTTAATATTTGAAGCCGTCAGAGAAGAGTATTGACAATTTCAATTCAAATGGGAATAATGTTTTGGAAATACGATTATTTTTTTCTGTGATTTTATTCAAGGTTTGCACTTTCTGTCCGCAAAGCATGAATATTGATACTCATCACAAAACATTTTTTTATTGTCTAAATTATGCTTTATGTAAATATGTTGATGATAAAATAATATTGTTGCATAACTTGCAGTTGTTATTATCATTCAATGATAAAATGACATAAAGTACTTATGCTGGCATGATGAACAGTTCTAGAATATTGTGGTTTCAAAATGGTATTGTGATTTTATAATTAAAAAATCGTCATTCCTTGGATGATGAACATGTTGGTACGTATTTCATTTAATATTGACAGTTTAGGTCTTCAAAATTTGCATGATTAACATTCCAAATGTATTCATGAAAAATAAATCAAATTTTTGACAAAATGATAAGTCCACCAAACAGTTATGATAAATGGGGCAGGTGACAGATTTTCTATTTTTGTTATTTAAAATTGCAGCATATTTTAAGCAAAATGAAAAGTAACAATGAGTCTGAATCATTTTGTCTACAATTCTTAATATAGCCTCCCTATTAGTACATTCAGTGCGTTGATAAATGAAAGGGAACAACGACTACTTTTTAGGAATGTACTTATCCGCAGGTGGTGTGTATGTACAAAATCAATCGTAAAAGAATTTCATGCAAATATCCACAGATGATGATTTTTATTGTTATAAAATTGTATAATAATAGTGATACATATAAACATGGATCTTAAGACGTCAAAATATAATTCTAGTGGAATTTTCAGAGTAATTTAATTTAGGTGATACAAAAATAATTATCGGGTAGTATGCTTAAAAATAATCTAAAACGGAGATATCGAGAAATACCAATTAACTGAACTGTTCAGATACCAAGTTTTTGTGCCTTTACGTCTATGTTTGACTTAAATTATACACTTAACAATCTCTTGTACGGAGATGAGCGCCAAAGCTTTAACCTGAACCAATAAAATCATTCTTTAAGTTCAACAGTTTATCCTAGCTTCCAAACGTTTTTCCAACTAAATATCCACTTTTTTGCCGATCATTCCCGATAATATTGTGTGCAGACTTATGTTTCATATTCTTTATCTTAATTCTAAACTTAACATAGATATTTTGTCATCTTTTTCTTCGAAACATTCTTCATGTATATAATACTATCTGAAAAATTAACTTAATTCAAATACTTGATAAAAATATTTTTTTATTTTGTAATAGAAACTGTTAGGGTTTGTAATAATTGAAATAAATATTGTTAAAAAAAGTAAATTATAGATAACGATTCTTATATAATTTGTAGCTGTTGATATCATAACTGGTTTATATTAAGAATTTATGACATAGACTTGAAAAACATAAAAGTGTGTATTTTCTACGCGAATTAGATCTACTTTCTTTTTGAAAAATGTTTTGAATGCTCCAAAATTTCAAATCCTATGCAAATGTCTGATAAAATCATATCTCTAAGACTATCATTGTGCTGACATCGCGTGGTAAAGAAAACGAAATATATACTGCTTACACTCATGATGATGCATTTACTGGTCGAAAAACGTATCAAAACTGAATTGAAATATCAGGTAGAAAATATAGCAGTTACTATAGACTTGTTCAATGTACTAAATTTAGATATTTTCCCCCGACGTTTTACTTTTTAATAACCTGTTATATCATTTAATGAAATAAACAAATGAGAAAATAAGTCTCGCATTGACTGAACGTGTTCTTCAAGAAGAAGAAAATAACAGTCTTCAAATAAATTGTTATTGTTCATAAAAAGCAGTGTATTTATGCATAATGATCACTTTGAAGTATAATATGCCGAAATGTTGGCACTCTTCTTTCGGTCGCATATTCATTTACAGATAAAAAAAAGAGTTTACATTGTTTTGTTTTTGTTATGTTCTTTTTTAATTTTTGTATTTTATTTTCTGTTTAGTCATATTATGGCTTTCCTGTTATAAAATTTGTCTATATTTTTAGATAAGATATGTTTGCAGTTATAAATACATTTTGCATGATTTTGTTTTAATCTATTGTTTTACATCGTATATTTTTTACACAAATATTTAGAATGGTATCTTAATAATTTAAGAATGCCCTTACGATAGATGACACATTCAAATGGAATTTCTCATTCCACACTTTTCTATTTGATCCAAACTGTCAGATAACAGTTTTATTTACTGCTGGTCTATTGAACTTTTTTTTTATTATTATTATTTTGCGAGCACAGTAAATACATGTGTTTATTCAGCGTGTCTTTATATGGGTCATTTTCAAAAAAGGCTTGTGTGTCTTTATCATGCTGATAAACGTCCGAGGTGTAGAAGAATAGAAAGCAGACGATCTGACAGCAATTACTAATACAACATTTACAAAAATAACATGCTAATACTTTACTACAACATCTCTGGAGTTCCGACGGATAAAACCGTATTTGTTTCATATATAGCCTGTAACACAGGTGATCAAAGACAACGAACGATGGTTGAAATAGGCTTAGACTGGACTTTACTTGTATACATGTATTTGATAGAAGTTATACAACTTTCCTAATGTGTTTTTCTAAAAAAAAATCACTATTAAATGACAATGGCAAATGATCTTCTGTTTCATCCTCATACAATTTCCACAACAAACATTGAACAGAAAGCATGTTAAGATTGTTTGATGTTTTCATTTAAGTGCTTTTCCTAGCGTATTCGTAGCGGCTCACTTTGGCCGTGGAATATTACCAACACTACTAGACGATGTACAATGTACGGGATCTGAAACAAGCTTGTTTCAATGTCGGCATAATGGTTGGGGTATAGAAAATTGCAGTCACGATGACGATGTTGGTATATTATGTAATTGAGGTAATATTACTTTCGTCATTGTTTCTGAAATACGATATTCTTAAAATAATCATTTTGAAGTTTTCAAATAAAACATTGAATGATAAAGCAAGATAAATTAGTTTTAATTAACATAAAAGGGTAATTATTCTCATTCATCTGTGAATGGATGTGGCAAGAATAATTAGAGCACACAATGTTTATAACAAAATTTTAGTTTTGTTTAAATCTAGTGTACTTTTTTAATTTACCTATTCAAATATTTTTATCGTCAGTACAGAATGCGTTTATATTAATAGTTATGAAGAGTTTTTACAAGGTCCAATCAAGTTTAAACGGTTGTAAGTTCTATGACCATTATATAGCGACGCGGATTTTATCACACACGGCCGTGAAGAAGAATGTCAATAGTGGATAAACTTTTTACTTGAAATAAGCCGTATGTTTTAACCGTTACTGATTTTATATTTTCTTTACAGCTGAATGCAAATGCAAAAAGGGATAGCTAAAAAGGTACCGGGTCATCTTTATTCAATTGTTGTTTAAAAAAGGATTAAAGACTTTTTTCTTTATCTAAACATTTTTCTTCTCCAAAGCGATATTACTGTTAAACGTTCCGAGCATTTATGGAAAAGAAGTAAATACGAAGACTTCATTTAATTCACAAGTTTACATATTTTCTTTTAATTTTGATAAAATACTTTATAATGACCGAACATATATTTCTATATGACATTATGTTGCGAAATGATAACAAGCACAAAACAAGCAATACATATATAACTTTCTCGAACCTATGTAATGCACACATTTAATGTCGTTTAACATATATTAATGAATTGATGGTGTTTAATCAATCAAAAGTTATCCACGTGCACCCGAATGTCTTCCCCAAATAATGTTTGATTTCTTTATTAAAAATAATTATTTTTGTTCTAATTTTACATGACTCTTTTACCATCGGTGTCATTTAGAATAGAGTACACTCATACAATTGATTAGTACTGGTTAGCAACAATATTGTATCATTTATCATTAAAAAAGAAAATGTAGCAGATTAAAAAGATGTCATAATTTCCAGTTAGTAATGCTGCATTATCAAAATTCCAAAAAAAGAAACAGAATGTATTTAGAATGATTTGTAGACAATAACTGTTTTGTTATTTTAAGTCAAATATTAAATACCAAATGTATGTTATGTGATTCAATATAGACATATACAAAATATGATATAACATTATTAAAAAAAAAATGTTCGAAATGTTATTTTTCTATACACATGTCACATGATAATGTGTTGATTTTTTATTTTAAAATATAAGTAAGAATATTTTATATTGCATGTATAATCACTTCTGGTTTATTTCTGATCTTGTTAAAAGCGAAAGCACGCTACTTAGCGGGGTTGCAAGGCGAAGTTTAATAATTTAAACCGCGCTTCCGCTAATAAGTGTGTTTTCGCTTCGCGCCCAGCCTTTATAACTTATTAATTTTCAACTTTTTGATTGGCGGTGTCGCGGGGCGAAAACACGAATGGCACAAATCAGCCACCATATTTTAAACCTCATTTTTCTACATTAGTTGAATTGATATTAGAATAATTATATGTTTGCATTGCTTCATACTCCCTGTTTGACAAAGAAAGGATGAAGATCATGATCAGGATCACGTGATTATGTCGTCTTTTATCAAGATTTGGTAGAAAACAAACTCACTCCAGGTTAAAATTAAGAAATAAAAATACACTTTATATTATAAACTAAATAAAAGTAATGATTTCTTGACAAAAATAAGGAACATTGTCTTAAACTGTTTCAATTTTCTTTATATTTGCTTTGCTTTTTGTTATTTTTTATGTTATTGTCAATGAATTTTGTATGTTTCTTAGCTGAATATCTACCTTTAAAATTTAGTAAGGTGATAATTTCTTATTCGTGTATTATTATGCTATGTTATAAGAATATTATCATTCCAAATTTGAGTTTAAGTAAAATGTATAAGTTATTATTTTCTCTTTTTCAGTATACAGTTATTTCATTTGTTTTTTGGGGGAACAGTTAAAATGTTGGCCCGAGGTGGAGGGGATAGTTTTTAAACTGTTGCCCGAGGCTGTAGACCAAGGGCAACCGTTAAAAACACTATCCCCGACACCGAGGGAAAACTGTTTGACTGTGCCCTAATCACATATGAAATAACTGTTCTATTACCTGATAAATTACTGTTTCAGCAGTACTTATAGAAGAAATAGGATCACATGTGTCGCCTCATGATGGCCAATGTCATGTTGGGACAAGTTTTGTGACAGGCGGACAGACAGACGGACAGTGCACAACTAGACTTGGTACTGATCATTCTTGTAAAGTTTGGATAAAATTGCACCAGTAGTTTATGAGGAGTAGTCCGGACAAGCTTTTGTGTATCTGGCAACACACAGAAAATACCACCTTTTTATCAAAGGGCCATAACTCGGCCAAAAATCATTCAACCGGAAAACCCGTGCAATATGCGCAAGGACTTGAGCTACAAATCAATCATGTAAAGTTTCATTGAAATTGCATTAGTGGTATAAGAGAAGTAGTCCGGACAAACTTTAAAAATAAAAATTATTAAAGGGCCATAACTCTGACAAAAATCATTGAACCGGAAAATGCTGACACTATGCACAACTAGACTTGGTACTAATCATTCCTGTAAAGTTTGGATGAAATTGCACCAGTAGTTTATGAGGAGTAGTCCGGACAAGTTTTGTGACGGACGGACAAACAAACAGACAGACGACGGAGAAGTGATCCCTAAATGTCGCCACTACTCCGTAGAGGCGACACAGAGAGAAGCGAGAAAATAGTTTTGTTCAAGGAGGATCCTCTATCACGTCAGAGCACGCGAGGGAATTAGTCGATTGTATTATAGTTGAATGAATCTTTTATCATGTTTGCTTAAAAGCTTCTATAGTTACTCCCCCAAAAAGTCATTACAATTGGTTTGTTTGTTGGCTTGATCTTCCTGTATTAGGTAAATAATTTGATTGATATAATGCATTCTATGTTTTGTCTTGACTAAATTAGAGCAAACTTTTTCAATTTCGATCCATTAAAAAAAACTTTTGGTCAATTTATAATTTACGTTTTATTTTAATTATTCATATACCAAATTTTAATAAGCAACATCGAAGAAAAATTGATCGGATATAATCAACCAATTTTCAATATTTCTGCCTTAAGTTATAATTATCATTAAATGTAATTATAAGATAAGTTTTTTAAGTTGTGTTAAATAGTGATAGTAGCATTAGACTATTGAATTCTTGGCCTTTTTCTTTAAAGTGAATTGGTCTGCCATAGGCACATTTTCAGATAGAATTGTATCATTTGGATACTTGTCATGGAATATTTTTGAATAACAATATGTTGATTAGAGTTTTAAAGTGTATTAGTATGAACATCTTTATGATGAAGAAGAATATTTTGTTCTAAAACCGTTGATAATCTGTATAAATATATATTTATATATCATAAAGGAACGTGTATCTTGAACTAATCAATAACATCTGGATATGATTATTTCGTAGTTCATGTTCAAGTATGAGACTAAATACTACCAACATAATTATTTATGTTTTTTTTTTTTTTTTTTTTTTTTTGTTTTGTTTTTTTTTATTTGTGTTTTACGTCACACCAACATAGTATAGGTCATTTGGCGAAGTTCCAGCTGTACTGGTGGAGGAAGACCTCAGGTGCCCTTCCGTGCAGTTTTTCGGGCACGAACGGGTACCTGAGTAGAACCACCGACGTTCCGTAAGCTAGCTGGATAGCTACCTCACATGAAAGAATCCAAAGTCCCTGTCGGGATTCGAACCCATAGCGGTGAGGGGCAAGTGATTTATGGTATTAAAGATGTTTCAATATTGACCAATTCACTTTAAGTTAGCTGATTATTTTTAGTGTTTGCTTTATCTGTAATACAATAAATTTATTAAAATTCTACATTAAGTTATTTAACTAATATACATTAGAGGGTTTTTTGTTCTTACTTTTGAATATGTGTAATAATGTTAATAATAATAACAATAATGATTCAGTTTCAGTTTCGATAATACGTACTAGTTATCATTTGTTTGTTTTTCCAATGAGCTATGATAATTTCTTAACCTATCTGTATAGTTATAATTGTATCTTGAAATTCTTTAAATGTATGTAAGTTTTTATGCTGGTTATAGGCTTGTAGCGTTTAGTCCTTTATCGCTTGTTCCACTATAAATGTTTATATAATAAAATATATAAGTACTCATATCGAAAACGCCGTTATCTTTGGTTTATTACCCAAACTATAAATACGAAGGTTGTTCAAAATGTTTGTGGAATTTGACTCTTCTGTGCATATCTTTTGGTGTGCGTACATGATTTTACAAGAGAATAATATTGGAACATGTCCTTATATTTTGTCGATTCAAATATGATCGAGATTGGGACATCTTAAATCTATCTAAAAGTACATAGGGGTGGCAGGAAAAAAGCCATGTACGCAAATACATTACCAGGAAAACAGGAAATTTAAAATTATTATTATTCAAGATTTCAATCTTGCACCTTTAATGTATATATATAAATATATAAGGCGTAAGATTGTAATAATGAATTAACATCAAATGCCTTCATACGGCAATTACTATTAAATTGTCATGGTAAAACTTTCATGTTCTGTCCGAAAGTAAAATAATGCATGTGCTTAATATATAAAATTTGAATTAGGATCAGAGGTTTTTAGGCCATGCGTAAAGAGCGATAAAAACGCAAATGTAAAAAAGCTAGTAAAATATTCTAATTTAAAAGTTTATTATATAGTTTTTATGTAGGATTTCTTGAGCAGTCAATTGAAAAACCAATGCAAAATTGAAGAACTTAAAGTCCCGCAAACTCGACAATAAAGTCGTTGAACGATCTTCAAAGTTTTGATGGAAATTATGTTAAAAGGAAGGGCTTACCAGAAACATATTTGAAAGAATATTTTTCTGTATAACCTTAGCATTTACCCTTTTTAATATGGATCAGCTCATACATGTAAACTGTTCAATGTGAAGAAAGAAAAAAAACCAACTGTACGTACGTTGATCAGATTCCTTTATTTTTGCTAGTAGGTGGGTAGCAACATATGAGAGGTAATGTTGTAACGTGCTTGTAAAAAATGGTTACCTTTAACTTTCACAGCGTTGTAACATACCTTAAGTGGGTTACTCGTTTCCCCCAAAGAATAAATTGAATTAGTCGTCTTCAATGATTCAACATTGACCTGAACTTCTACATTTCAAACCTCACAATCTACTTTCCTTAAATGCTTACAAATTAAATAGTCATAATCTTTTAGTGGTAAATATGTACGCATTAATAATGAAATAGAACAAACTGAATTCCATTGCTGTGATTGTATATTTTCTAACTTAATGTCAATTGCTCTAATTCGTGTGTGTAAATTCTCAAACTATTTTTCTTTTCTTCTCCTATTTTGTTTTGTTCTAGTATTTGTCCTACATCGAATGCCCACTGTTTTCACTTCGATTGTTCTAATTCAAGTGATTCCTTTAGCTTCATATTTTTCTGCTGATAAATTCTTTGAGTGTGTTCCATGTTTGATTGATATTGTAGCTGCATAGGTTTCTTCTTTGATTGTGCTAATTTTATTGATATCTTTAGCTTCATATTAGTCTGCTGATAATTCTCTTGAAGTGAATCCAAGTTTGATTGATATTGTAGCTGCATTGATTTGTTGGCTTAAAACATTGCTTGTATTTGATTTTTCATTTTAGCGTTTTCCCTCTTATGCATTATTTGAATACACTTCAGTTTTTCTTCCTGTATCCTTTGATATTCTAGTCTCTCCATTTCCTTTTGATTTCTGTGCTCCTCGTTTCGTTCTTGTTCATATTTCATAGCATCTTCGAATTCTTTTCTAAGGGTTTTCTGCCTTTGGATATATGTTTTCTCCAAGCTTTCTAATTCACCTATTGAGAAGTAGATGTTTGTAAATAACTTTCATGTTGAAAGTATTGAGCGATATTTCCGATAATAATTGTGAAGTAATTAAAATATATAATCATTTAAAAAAATATGTCACAGTATATATAATATTAAATCAGTATGGTAATTGTTTAAATCCTTAACATGTAAGTATCTTTAATGATTATAATAGCAGTGAATTATCTTTTATTTTCTTATTTCTTTGTTTGGTTTGTTTGATTATTTGTTTGTTAGATTTTAAGTCAATCCAACAAGTACTGTACAGATCCACATGGGGAATCACGTGACCTTATATAGTAATACAAACGAGTATTGGCGACTTGTGAGCTTCGTTAAGTTCATTATTTTTTATAAATTTAGGTTCTCGAAAACCATAAAACGTAGGACAATGTACTTGGTATTGATATTTAAAGTAAGTTACCGTGCGTATGATAGGCTAGGTTTAGCTTGGATTTAGGAAAGTATTAAGTATGTACCGAAGACCTCATGTGCTCCTTCATGCATTGTTTCGGGCACAAGCTGGAACTGTTAGTTAGTAGAACCACCGACCTTACGTATGCTGGCTGGAAAGCTTCCTCACATGAAAGAATCCAAAATTTCTGACGGGATAAGAAGCAAGTGAACCTTAACCACCCGGCCACGGAGATCCCTTATTATCTCTTTTTTATTTACATGTACAGAAATACAGAATCGAACATTCTTACTTTTAAATCACGCGACTATCATTAAAATCTATAATATCAATATATCAGTTATTACGTTTTCTATCCTCTGCCATCATTTTCTGGTCCATCATTAAAACATTTATCTCGTTTACCCTTTCTTTTTCCATGAACACACTCAGTGCTTCTTTTTTCTGAAAGAAAACGTGTATTTTATAAGATCAAAGTTTTAACAATACAAAACGAAACATCATAAAAATTTATTAGCTAGAAAGCCACTTAAATAAACACAACTACGTAACACCTTGTCCTGTATTTTCTATATATACTTTTTGTTATTGAAAATATATTTTGAATACCTCATATTCATCACAATCTTTGACTTCATTCTTGTAATTTGTCGTCATCTTATCTATATCTAGCCTGTATAATTGATAGCAGCCAGGTTTGCTGTAATAACTTCTTTTCATTTTGATTCCTATAGAAGATTTTTTGTATTATCTGTTCACAGTGAAGCCGGACCATTTTCCTATTTTCCTTTTTCATTTCTTCCCACATGCTATTCATATCCGCCTGTCAAAATATGGAGAAAAAAACATGTAAAACAGAAAAACGAGCATGTTGAGTCAGAAACACAAATCAGCCGATTTTTATAATAAAGACAGACAGCAAATAAATGTGTTTGATATCAAATTTATTGTAACGCAAACAAGTATCTTTTACACCTTAAATTTATTGTTTACATTAAAAACATAATAGTATCTGGTGTGTATGTTTATAAAGCATGTAAAAGTTTAATCGAGCATTTACTGAGCAAGAATGTACTTACAACTGCATGTTTTTCATATTTTTCTGAGTTGAACACTGATTCATGCCGCAGTTTTGAAAGTGCACCCCTTTGTATTTCTTGATAAAGATTTTCGAAATCATTGGTCTTCAGGACTGGTAGTTCAATCATTTTTATTTTTTCTGCAAACTCTTTTATAGCTACGGCTGCCATACGTTCGTTTTCCAAATTTGCAACAGCCATGAATGCGTCATCGACATCAGGAACGGCTCCGTCTCGTATTGCGTTAACGTATATCTCGATAGGAGTCGAAAACACTGTTTATACAAAACAAAACAAAATAAATAAATTTATATGCGGTTCTGAAAGCTTAAATTTCGCTCTTTCTATAAAGCAATATAGTTATACATAAAATAAAATTATTAGTTCTTTTGTGCAGTTATTTAACAGACCGGGTAGTGAACATTGATAGTTGTTAAAGTTGTAAATAAAAAGTTTACATTTATAATAGTTTATGAAATTACTTCTTCCGTTGACTGGCTTGCTGTTAAGGAGCACCTTGCTCTCGCATGCGTACATGTAATCTAAAAAACAAATTAGTTTCTTCAATAAATTCGTTGGACATTTCTTCCAATGGAATGCATTCTAACTGCTGCAGAACTCTTCTTCCACCTGGCCTATCAAAAACAAAGCACTTGCGTTTACAAAAATATTTCCGAATACATTCCCTTGGTCTGTTATATTTAATTGTTGTACTATCGTGTCCATGCTAAAGTTTAAGACAATCTTCAAGACATTCCAAGCTGTTCGTCATCGACGTTTTCTGTCCTGTTCCGGAATCTTATATTTTTCGACATTTTTGTTATAAATCTTAAGGTCCAATGTAAGTAAAAATAACCAATGTGATCACACATATACCCTTTGGTTTTAATCTCTTGATTCTAACAAATGAGTTAAGTAACATGAAAGTGAAACTTTTAAAAGGAAAGAGAAAAAAGCACATTGATTAACCCTTATGGCACACGCAGATTGTAATAAAAAAGCGGACTTTGCCCTAGATAGCTCACATGAAGCGCTAGCCTAGAAGATTTTAACTAGAAATGTGTCCATAGGACATGGGTGCCCCCACCGCGCCACTGTTCTGTCAATCTTATGACTCTAGGTCAAATAATTTTTAAAAACTAAACATCTTTACCAAGTAAAGGGCAAGAACTTTACAAATACTGAATAAATCCCCAAGCAAACCCCAAGGTGCATAAGTACACATGCTGACCAACATTCTTGTAAACTTTCAGGCCTACAAGTGAAAATTGCAAATTTATACTACTGTAAGTCAAGGGCAATAACTCTAACAAAACTGAAAAAATCCACATGCAAAGTCCCAGGTGCATAGTTTCACAGTGATGTGAATCATTATTCCTATAAAATTGGTTGATTCTAACTCAAGCACTCAAGGAACAAATAACAACATAATGAAACGGTTTTTACTAAGTCAAGGGAAATAACTCTACAAATACTGGATAAATTCACAAGCGAAACCCCAGGTGCAAAACTAAATATGCTGAGCAACCTTCCCGTGAGGTTTAATGACTCTATGCCAAATCCTTTTTGAGTTACATGCGACACAAGTTGAAAATTGTAACAGTTTACTAAGTCAAGGTCAATAACTCTAAAATACTAAAAAAATCCAGACGAAAATATCCAGGTGCACAACTGCACATGCTGATCAACATTCCTGTAAAGTGTCATGACTCTAGATCAAATACTTTTTGAGTTACATGCGACACAAGTTGAAAATTGCCAAATTTTACTAAGTCAAGGGCAATAACTCTTAAGATACTAAAAATATCCAGACGTGCACAACTACACATGCTGATCAACATTCCTGTAAAGTTTCATGACTCTAGGTCAAATACTTATTGAGTTACGTGCGACACAAAAGAGAACGGACGGACGGACGGAAGGACGGCCAAGGGTAAATCTAAATGCCCGCCACTAAAGTGGGGGCACAAAAAGAGTTCCCCTTTTTTCCTATAGTAATAAATCTATGTAAAACATGACCCAAAGCGAGGTCAATTTAGACAACTGTTTTGAACAAACGTGATATAAGTATTCACAACATTATCAAATATCTTAGCACTAGGCATTGAGGTAGGTTTCCTTGAAGAAACTGGGGTCAATTTGACCCAAGAGCATAATTTGTTCGATTTTTATATTGGAACACTTAAAAATGCTGCACATATTTTTTAATTATTGGCTTTAAAGATAAACAGATGATTTTAAAGATTTCTTTTCTGTAGAATCAAAAGACCATTGGGACGAGACCAGTTTTTAACCCAGGGTCATAATTCTAGCAAACGTGATGTTTTATTAGACAATTACACCAAATATCTAAGCTGAATGTCTTGTGCTTAGAGAAAATATTCTTTTCCTCCTATAGGTGGCTTTGTTCAAATCAAATTTAGCATGCGGAGAGATATCTAAGGAATCATTGTCAATGGGCTATAGAATACGACGAGTAACCAACGATAATAATAAAAGCTCACCGTGTGATCAGGTGAGATGTTATTGGAGTTGATTCCTATATTTGAAATGAAACTGTTTTGGAATAAATAAAAACCACACAAAAAAAACAAGAATTCCGTGTTATATTATAAAAAATATAAATTTTCACTGCAAAATTAATTTCATTTCTTAAATTTCTGATATGATACCTTAAAACAAACAAAAAGAAAAATTGAAAAATAACTCTAAATAGGTATTTGTTAGTAAAAATAAATAAGCAAAGCGAAAAGTAAATAAAATCAGTGAAGATACCCTCCAATTGAAAAAAAAATAATCTGTGTTTTAATTTTCCTGTTCATGCGCTAAAATGGAAATCAAGCCGATAAGGAGATTGATACAATGTTCGTAGGAATAAGGTTCTCGACAGGCTATATAGTTATATGACGGTTGTATACAATTTAACCCTCCTCCAGCGGTCCGACTTATATATGTAAACAACCGTAAATACAGGGTCTTATATCCTGTCAATCATTTTAATAACTAACAAGGTGGATTAGTTTGGTAGAAGGCCTTTGAAAAGTCAATCACAATTTCGCAACTACGTTAGTACCGAGAACCATTTAATAAAGGATACGTCAGTTTATCTACAGCATCTTGGTTGAAGGTTGACATCATGTTATAGACTAAGACATTACATAGCAGCACCACAAGCGTAAAAATTCTGTTATCATGATCCTTGTCGCCCTGTAGAAAATTTGATATATGATCATGATCAGTATCAAAGAGGAAAAAGACTAAACAATTGTTGTCTAAATGTTACTGAACATCAAATAAGTAATTCTTTATTTTCTTTACAAATTATAATTATGTGCATGTGTGGTTAGGAATTGTAATGTTTGTTTTGATTAAAATCAATTCATATACCATACCTTCGAAACGTCTCCTAAACCCTCTGTATCTAGAAGGACAAGAACAGTGTTGTCTTTAAGTGGATGATCCTTACACCATATCCAGATTGCCTTTGTTTTGGACTCTATAGTCTTTCCAAGCGGAAACCCTGACATAATACAACGTTTTGCTTTCAAAATATATTGAAGTGGCGATGCAGTTTCCAAAAACTACAAATATCGATTCACGGGTTAATGTAAAAACACGCAAAAACTTTATCAAATCATCTCTTGTTTAGCAGAAAAGACTCATGTCGCAATCCAAAGCACCAAAACAAAAATCTGCACATACTTATATATTGCGTTAATCATTATAGAATTGACAATTACAAAGGTAGTGCATTTATTTTATGTATCGGGACTTTCCCTTTCGTGAATAAAATAAAAATATTGAAAAGGGGTAATCCCTCAGAAGCAATGAAAACTACAGGTACATGCAAATGTTTGATTGAGTCTGTTCATGGGCGTAAAGGGCAACATCCGTCTCGCCCGCTAATAACGGCTTAATCGGTATCCAATTTTCAGCACTTAATGTGCCGGAATCAGTACTCCCGACTGTCCAGAAAAATATAACGACACTAAAGTGAAGTACGGGGCAACTTTTAAAGCGGTCACACGATGATTGATACCTTCTGTGCTGAATAATATGATGTTTTTTTTTCTGTTGTGAATCGTCTAATCAATTTACCCTATTTACCCCATTTACCTCAAAATAGTAACCCCGTGTGAAGCACATCTAAGGATGTTACCGTTCGAAGAGTTTGCAAGCCGGTTCATGAGGTATGATTTTCCAGTCCTGTATAGCCCAGTAATCGCCAATATCACAAGATGTTTATCAATCTCTTGAATTTGCTTCAGTATTTCCTCTTCAACTTTGAACTGTCAATTATCATATGTACTTACTAATCACATTGGCTCTTCAAAAATACTGAATAGATCATTGAAGTTATGAATTCTTACGTTACCAGTGTTATAACTTTATCTTAAACAAAACATATTTATGAAGATCAAGTGTATATAGTTACATTTCGCTCAAGCCATTGTTTAAAACAGTAAGAACATTTAATAAAGATAACACAAAACGTTCTATTTAAAAAATGTATAACAATGATGATTGGTTCTGCAAAACGTTCTGTCATTATTTAGCTTAGTTTTATCTCCTTGGTTGTTCTAAAACTCTCCATTGTACTTAAATAATGTGATCGGATAGTTCACGTTCTCAATTTACTGTGTGCAAGTTGCTTTGAAATGGTCATGTTATTTCAAATACAATACATTTGAGCAATTTGCTGAAATTGTTGAATGTGTAGCCGTATGAAACAGGGCTGGGAATCAAAACTGCGTCGTATCCTACAAAATGTAAACAAACGCCGCCATCTTGGAGCGAAAAATGTATGTTTTTGTATATAACTCTTTTTGTTGGAAATGACTGAAAACCAGATATATGTATTAACACGCTACACTATTTTCCGCTTCGTTCAGTATATGTTGCTTGCACAACTATTTTGTAAAACAAAAGTTATAGCGAACTTGCAACTCGAAGCGGGGCAGAATTTTTATGAAAATGTGTGGATACGACGCAGTTCATATTGCTTTATCTATCGTTTTTCCTTCAAATCAATTATATACTCGTTTTCAGAGTTCACCATAAACTTCAAAACATAATTTTGCATCATTTACTAAACTTTCATTAAAAAGAGATGCTTATTTTCCAAGAAAATAATGATTTTTACGAAATGATACGACGCAGTTGAAAATAAAATATGATACGACGCAGTTGTATTTTCATTGCAGGTTGCATATTGGTTAAACTATTTAAATTATGTGCTAGGTAATAACGTCCAACAACATTTCTTGTTTACAACTTAAGTCAAAAGCAGAGGTCACTCATTAGTTCCATAAAAATGGAAATGAAATGCAATTCTATTAAGGCTGCATTTTTCGGTCCTATCATAAGCACCTACAAATTCCGAAAAGCTGTATCAAATGCAATATACATTGAAACATATGATCGCACACCCATATGACAACGTACGTGTTCCAGTGTTGCCTTAACATGCTTCTAAAATTGTTCCCGTGAGTTCGAAATGGGAGTGATTACTAATTTTGATACAAAATTCAATATTCCAGTGTAACCTCCCCTGGACCCTGTATTAATCAAGAATGACTTTTTTTTTAAAAGAGAATGAATTACAAATTTTGAAAAGGTATCTCGCTATCGAAAGAGAGCTATGCGCAAATTGCATGCCTACCTTTGTTACTTGTTATTAGCAATAATTTCCGTCAATTCAGTTAATACTTATGTCTTTTACGTGCCGATTTTATTGTATTCATTTTCTTAATAATCGGTGAGAACAGATGAGCTTTATTATTTGAAATTGAACATTAAATTTTTAAAATTATTATATATTAAAAATGGTTAAGCTACAATATATTTTTGCAAGTAGGTTATGCGTTCCGTTTAGTCATTTTATGTCGAGCGCCGCGGAACTTTACCGCTGATTTTGTCGTATTGCATTTCTTTATCGCCTATGAGGAAAGGTCTACGGATTGTATTTTCTATATTTGCACTTAAGTATCATTCTTCTCCATTAAAAACTTTAAACTTTCAAAATCGAGTTACATATGATACAACTACAAATTATTTTGTAAAGAAGGTGTCCGTTTTGCAAAGGTATTTTACGCTGTGCACCGATAAATTTGATACAGATATAGGCAGACATGATCTTTCAACAGTATTGAAGAAGTTTTCACAATATTGAACAGAAAATTTAGGTCAGATTATCGCATCGAATTTTCAACAGACTAGAGACATGGCATCTCAACATACCTTCATACTAAAGTGTGATTTTTATTTGATAATGAATTGCCTGAAAACTTAAACAAATGTTTTCAGAAAAAGACTTCACAGAGGATTACCCCCTGTTTACATTGAAAATTTCTCTGCTTGTCTTACCGAAATAAGAAATTTAAATGTTATTCTCTTTATAATTAATTCAAATATTTATAATCTTAAAACTTCACGCCAGAAGTTAATGAAAAAGCTGCGTATTAGTACAGCTGACGTTAACAAATTGTGTTGGAAAAAAACCCAAATCAGACAGGTGTGTCCGACCGAGGCCGAGCTGTTTATGTTTACTGAATTCAAATCACTTGAACTGAACTGCTATGAATTCGAAAAACCACCAGGGATTTTTTATTCTTTCGTGTGGAAAACATATCAAGCTAGTTTCAAAATGTCGATGGTTCTCTGCAGGTGCAACATTTTGCCTGAAATAATGCCCAGAAATAACGCACCTGAGGTCCTCGCCCCTAGTAAAGCTAATATGTAGAGTGAAAGTTTGAAAACAAACCAATAAAAAGCAGTCATTATCCAGAACATGCAGAACCAAAGTTAACTTAGAGCACAGCTAGCCAAAATGAATTCAAGTCAATAGATTTTCTACATTTTTTTTTTGCGAAAAAAATTCGGTATAATATTGAACATACCGGAAAATATAAGAAATTATTTCAGATATTATGATCAATTAGGTAACATGTTCATGTTTAACTGAAAAGTAGCTTCTGCAATGTAAACTTTCAAATTAAATGTTATACTAGTATTGGACATGACACAATGTATTCTAAATAATCAAAAGCAACAGAACATCGCTATACACCGCAAATGTGTTTTTTATCTAGCGCAAGTGATTATTCCATAAAATATAAATATATTGTCAAAATTATCCCTGTTGAAAAGACTGCTAAAAATACAACTGCGTCGTATCATATTTTATTTTCAACTACGTCGTATCATTTCGTATAAATCATTATTTTCTTGAGAAATAAACATATCTTTTTAATGAAATTTAAGTAAAGGATGCAAAATTATATTTCGAAGTTTATGGTGAACTCTGAAACAAATATATAATTGATTTGAAGGAAAAAAACAATAGATAAAGCAATATGAACTGCGTTGTATCCACACATTTTCATAAAAATTCTGCCCCGCTTCGAGTTGCAAGTTTGCTATAACTTTTGTTTTACAAAATAGTTGTGCAAGCAACATATACTGAACGAAGCGGAAAATAGTGTAGCGTGTTAATAAATATATCTGGTTTTCAGTCATTTCCAACAGAAAGAGTTATATACAAAAACATACGTTTTTCGTTCCAAGATGGCGGCGTTTGTTTACATTTTGTAGGATACGACGCAGTTTTGATTCCCAGCCCTGTGAAAGTCTTCACTAGGTTTGATATAGATTCATTCCAGTTAAATGTATTTGGCGAAATATATGTCATAATATAGTCCTCAAGTCATTTCAACATCTCAATGCACTCTATTTTAAGTTATTAAGGATTTTGAAGTTGTGAAATTATCTGCCAAAGGTGATAACCTATCTTGTAGGCCCTAAACCTCTATACCATCCTAATATTAACTGTCCTCGAACAGGATATAAGACTGACAATAATAAAAATAGCAAGTTGTACTGGCATATCAGAAGCCAATATGCACACTTCTTAACAAGTATGTGTACCTTCAAAAAGGCTGTCACTAGGTATATAGTCGGTTTGAAAAGCGAGGAATGAAGGAAGCAATGCCTTAAATGTGTCCAGGTATTTTAAGAAAATTTAAAAGCTGCGATAGTGTGGCTACTTGTATCAGTAGACAAGATTGTTAAACATGTTTCTCCAATTTAAATGGGAAGTTCTTCAATTATTTTTCCATTTGGCCATACAGCCACTGTATGTGTAAAAAATAACTGAAGAATTATATGCAAAGTATGTTCAGTGATATGGGCTCGTCTTACAAGTGAGACAGTGTTAAAGAAACTCCAAAGAGGAGTAAAATAAGTTAAAGTCCCATACATCATTGCCCAAACACACACTGAAGCAAGTTTATATATCTGCTGTTAAAAATTGGATATAATGTTTGTTAAAATACAAAGGTTTTAACAAAGCATGTAAGAAACGGAGCATGTAAGAAATACGTAAACTATCTTTATTTGCTGGACCTTCGTATAAAATATGATAAACTGAGTTTAAAAGAGTAAAAAACGAAACATATCTGAAGAAATTTACCTCATGTGTTTATCATGTTTATCCTCGTTCATTGTCGTCTCGTGTTAGATTAGTAAGTTTGGATAAAATACCAATTTCCTGTAAACATATACAAATTGTTTAAAGCTGCTATCCCATACATTGTAGTTCGGGTGTTTTTGAAATAAATTGTCATCAAAAGATATATTTTCCACAAAGGCTCGTACATTTATATGGAACTAGATGATTAATGTCTTGTCATAGGAAAAAAATCTCTAAGTAAGATTTGCAATGTTTATAATGCAGAAATTATTAACCTTTGTAACGCGCTTTATTTTGTAAATATTGGCTTAATTTATAAATACACCCTTTAAAATGGTGCCTTAGATTCTGGGGTTTTAGAAGAACAGCGTGCTCTGTATCCCCCAATTCCCACAAAATATCAAATTTAAATTATTATATAAAAGAGACAAAAAAAAAAAACTATCCCCCCGGGAATCCGGTTTAAAAATGAATTTATATAGAAGGGTTTTCCTGGCTAGCCTAACCCGATAACGGGGGTATAAAGGGGGTTAATTCTTTGCAAAATTAAACAGACAACCGTTGTCAAAGTTTTTTCGTGAAAACTGCAAAATTTACGTCTATACATATTTAATAAATGTTAACAAGATTTGGTAAGACATTCATGGCATTGTCTTGTAAAATAATTCATTCCTTCCAAAACAAATGTAAAAAATATCATGATATGTTATTGGTGTATAGTGTACCACTTCAAAGTTTATGCAAATTATTTCATATGACTCCAAATCAGAAGCCCGAGATTTCAATCATAAATAAGTTTTTGATAAGTGCATAGGGTAC